CTATTCCGTGGACGTAGCCAATCTGGGTGAACCACGTACATCTTGTGTTTGCTTTCCTATCTCTATTCCATTTATATACTTATCCACACACTAATGACCGGAGCAATCTAGCGAAGATCACAAAAAGCGACCGTTTTTGCTACCTAGGATCTATCTTGCAAGAGAACGGAGAATTAGATGGAGATCTCAACCATAGAATACGAAGCTGGATGGATGAAGTGTAAGAGTGCATCCGGCGTGTTGTGTGACCGTCGTAGGCCACTGAAGCTCAAGGGAAAATTTTATAGGACGGCAATAAGGCCAGCGATGTTGTATGGCACAGAATGTTGGGCGGTGAAGCATCAACACGTACACAAAATGGGTGTAGCGGAGATGAGGATGCTTCGTGGGATGTGTGGGCACACGAGAAAGGATAAGATTGGGCAATGAGGATATCCGAGGTAAAGTAGGAGTAGCCGAAATTGAAGGAAAGATGAGAGAAAATCGGTTCCGGTGATTTGGACATGTGGCAAAGAAGGCCGACTGACGCTCCGGTTCGAAGATGTGACTACGGGACAGAGGTTCAGGGCCGAAGGGGTAGAGGAAGACCTAGGAAAACTTTGGAAGAGACTCTAAGAAAAGACTTAGAGTACTTGGATCGAACGGAAGGACATGACACAAAACCGAGCGCAATGGCGTTCTAGGATTCATATAGCCGACCCCACTTAGTGGGAAAAGGCTTTGTTGTTGTTGTATAATGATTATAAATAAATAAATAAACACATGCTTTAAAAAAAATCACTCATGGCCCTGTCGGATATAACCAACACTAACAAAGCAAAATTTTGGACGGCTGCCAGAATAATCTTTGAATGTTTTTTGTTTTTTTTTTTGTTTGTTTTTTTTGCGATTTTTTACACATGCTATCTCGAAGTATATACAAACATATTTGATGGTTGGATCGTTGAAACTAGTTTCGTAGAATGCATATCTTATCAAATTGATAGATTTAACAAACACACTTAAGAGTTAATGTTATACTTCCATTAAGTATAAAATAAGATTTATATCCATTAGTGTAAAATATTTTAAATTGAAGATGGAATTCATTCATTGCATTCTTATAGGATTGAGGAGTGTAACTGCAAAAAATCATCAAAATATGAGCTAAAATAACCGTTAAATTGTGATTTTTCGTTTATAACCATCTAAAACTTTTGTTCCGTTACCTAATCTCTGAATGTTTGTTTTTTTTACAATTTTTTACGTATGTGATCTTGGAGTGTGTACAAACAAGTTTGACGTTGGATCGTTGAAAAACGTTTCGTAGAATGCGTATCACATTAGAACAGTAGATTAAACCAACATTTGAGGTAATGTTATATATCTTCATCAAGTATAAAATAAGATTTTGTGGTATCCACAGTGTAAATATTTTAAATTGAAGATCGAATTCGTTCAATGCATTCTTATAGGGTTACGGAGTGTAGCTGTAAAAAAATCATCAAAATCGAAGCTAAAATAACTGCTAAACTGTAATTTTTCGTTTATAACCATCGAAAACTTTTGTTCCGTTATCTAATCTCTTAATGTTTTTTTTTTACGATTTTTTACGTTTGCGATCTTGGAGTGTGTACAAACAAGTTTGACGGTTTGATCGTTGAAAAATGCTTCGTAGAATGCGTATCACATCAAAACGGTAGATTAAACCAACACTTAGAGTTAATGTTATTGTTGAGCAAAAAAAAAAAGAGGGGAGTCTGATGCATTGAAAAACAATAATCATCATACATGTTGGATTACGAAGAGGCCAAGTCCAAATATCATTAAAAAAAATAATTGTCATGCATGCCTGATTACGAAGAAGCCAAGTCTATCAAAAACTATATTTGTTCATAGGTGTTGTACAACAGCTGTACTTGACCAAAAGTTAAAAGCAACAGCCATGCTTGAATAATGGTACAACTATCTACTGAAAAGTATACCCCCTGTCTCCCATCTTGGAAGGATTTGATTTGTCATAAATCCACGGGCCCAAGAGAGGACTAATCACTAGTCTTTTGCATGAATTTGGATGCATATGTGGAACAAAAAAAAATAATAAAAATAAATAAAGATGCATAAAGCTGCACATCAAAACTAAAGGGATAAAAAAATCCCACCATTTTGTACGAAGATATCAGGCACGCTTCCAAAGTAAAGAGTCTCCACCAAAAGACACCTACAACAAATCAAGAATAAAAAATAGGGTAAATTGCATAGTAGCCCCTCAGGTTTGAGGTCTATTGCAATCTTATACAACATCTTTAAAACATTTCACTTTCATACCTCAAGTACTATTTTATTTCAATTTCATACAACCGTTACATTTTTCATCCATGTATCTGTTAAATGCTGACGTGGCTGCCACATATATGCCACATGGCTGCCAAATGTCTGCCACGTGGCAAATAAAAATAATTTTTTAATTTCAGGTTCCCTTTTTTTTTTTCTTTCTTCTTCTTCCTCCTTCTTCTTCTGGGTTGCAGCTTTGCAGGGTGTTCGGTCCCCTTTTTTTTTTCTTCTTCTTCTTCTTCTTCTTCTTCCTCCTCCTCTCTCTTTCTTCTTCTCTTCTTCTTCTTCCTCCTTCTTCTGGGTTGCAGGGGGTTCGGTCCCTTTTCTTTTTTTTTTCTTCTTCTTCTTCTTCCTCCTCCTCCTCTTTCTTCTTCTCTTCTTCTTCTTCCTCCTTCTTCTACTGGGTTGCAGGCTATGTAGCACAGATACGGATACGGATACGGCGATACAACACGACGATACGGCTATTTTCTAAATATTAGGATACGATACGGCGTGGATACGTTAATTGAAAATATACATTGATGTATATTAATATATATATATTAATAGTTGTATATAAATATATACGGCATGGATGCTAAAAAATATGCATTATTTCTCTAATATAAAAATATAAATATATGGCCTTATTTTCTCATAAAACGGAAGCCCTGGTTTGAGAAGAAAATATCACATGACTTCAAAAAAACCCTAAGGGGGCGTTTGTTTGCCCTCACTAAGTGGGACTGGATTGGACTGGACTAGCTGTTAGTCTAATACCGTGTTTGTTCCATGCTGGGACTAACATTAATGAGACTAAAGAGGACTAGCATGGACAAAACCCTTCACTAAGAGGTCTTAGCGAGACCCCCAATAACCATGGGACTAGCTAAGACTATCATCTCTCATCCTCGTTACGCTCAACAACCACTCTCGATAGACTCCTCGTCATCTCTGGTCACCTAGATCATAATAAAATATTAATAATTTATATATAAAATAATATAATATTAGAATTTGTTATTATCTAGCTTCTTAGTCTAACACTGCACCAAACGCTTCACTAAGTTAGTCCAGCTTAGTCTAGTTTAAAGCCAGTCCAGCTTAGTCTAGTCTAAGCCAGTCCAACTTAGTCCTTAAAGCTAGTCCAGTCCGAGATAGTCTGGTGCAACAAACGCCCCCTAAGTACCTAGCACTATAGAATATGCCGCTGTCGCCTTCTTTCCAATTGCAGATCTTGCCATTTCGACACTCTTCTTCACAGAGCTCTCTCTCTCTCCCCCTCTCGCTCTCTCCCATCCTCTGGTTAGATCATTTCATCGTCAAGGTGCTTTTGTTGTTGCGTATTCAAAATGTCGGATTCGCGTATCAAAAACGTATCGACGACGTATCCAGATGTCCACTGGTCAACAGATACGTTCAAATACGTATCCAGAACGTATCGGTACGTATTGAGCGCATATCGTATCCCAGACCGTATCTGATACGGGATACGCTCTTAAGTTGGCGTGTCCGTGCTCCGTAGGTTGCAGGGGGTTCGGTCCCTTTTTTTTTTTCCCTTCTTCTTATTCCTCCTCCTCCTCTTTCTTCTTCTTATTCTCTTTTCCTCCTTCTTCTTCTGGGTTGCAGGAGGTTCGGTCCTTTTTTTTTTTCTTCTTCTTTCTTCTTTTTCTCCTTATTCTTCTTCTTCTTCCTCCTTCTCCTCCTCCTCCTTCTTCTTCTTCTTCCTCCTTCTCCTCCTCCTCCTTCTTCCCCCCAACGACCCACATCCCTGAAGAACCCAAAAACTTGCAAGAAAGAAGAAGAAGAAAAAAAATTCAGGTTTTATAAAAAAATATTAAAAAAATTATTTTATTTGCCACGTGGCAGACATTTGGCAGTCATATGGCATATATGTGGCAGCCACGTCAGCATTTAACAGATCCATGGATGGAAAATCTAACGGTTGTATGAAATTGAAATAAAATAGTACTTGAGGTATGAAAGTTAAATGTTTTAAAGATGTTGTATAAGATTGCAATAGACCTTAAACCTGAGGGGCTACTATGTAATTTACCCTAAAAATATATATATCAAATGAAGTTGCGGAATGTTCATTCAAATCCAAGTGAAACAAAAAAGTATGAAGCCTTATTGACCGTTCTGTTCTTCTCTCCAAAAAATAACGAATAGTAAAGAATGGTACGGGAGAAGCTCGTGCGGAAGAACTGATCAAAAGAAATTCAAAAAGGGTTTGGAACTTATCTAAAACCACTAAAATGGGGGAATTCGAAATCTTTTCTTTGTTAGCCACCTAGCATGAGATAAACCCCTACATAAAAAATAATAAAATAAAATAATAAAGAGAAGTTCGCAACAAACAAACTTCTCAAAAGAAAATAGGAATGCTGCCCACGTGAAGAGTTTAGACTTGGAAATCCAAGTCGTACAATGCATGTCTATAATGTACCCCATCAAATTAAATTCTTTTTTCAAACAATTTGCCACGCCAAGACGAGACGACTTCACTTTCGGTCAGAGAGAAGTAACGTGGAACAGGGACTTCCTATTTTTTCTGCAAAACGTGGGAGATTGCACAGTTAGTAGGAAAGGTTAAGAGAAAGTGGCGAAAGACATGGCCACTATCTCCCTCACGTAAAAGCTCTCCTAGGATGCCAATAAATAGGCATCAGCTGCTATCAGAAATGGGGGATTGAAAAGAAAAAAAAAAGAAAAAGAAAAGACTCTGCAAAAATTAGGAGAGAAATCAAAGAGGTGAACTGCTGTGGAAATTCAACGAGAAAATGCAAACATAAAAGAGGATACACAGGAGTAGGAAAAGCTACAAAGCATTCAAAGGTATAGCCATTTCATTCTTTTTAATCTCTTTCTGGGTTAGTTCTTTCTTCTGCTTTATAGGAGGAAAAGAAGCACTTTGCTTCTTCAACCTTGTTCATTCCCAACACAAGGAAAAATAAGAGCTATGAAAATTCCAAAAAGCAACCACCAACGCAAGTCCATCTGAACAACCATCAATGTCTACGCCGCAGATTCAAATCGTCGATCACTAACACTTCGACAAACACCAATGAAGACATTTGCAGCACAGTCGTTAACGTTAAATGAAAGACCAAAATGACGTAGCAGCCATGCCACAGTCCTCATTCCTCTCTGCCCAACTTGCCGCTGCGACGCTGCTGAACACCACCACTTCACACAACACCAACGTCCACAGCAGCCACGCCGTCCTCCAGCCTAGCGTCACAGCATGCTCCATTTTCTCGTCGATGGCGTAAAAGAAGGTGGCCATGAACATAGTTCTCGCAGTGAGAACAACAACCGCAGTAGCTGTCGAAGTTGGAATGGTTACTGCTGCTCTGTTTTAGGAGCTCAATTCAAAGAATTTGGCGGTTGCTGCTGCTCCGTTTTAGGAGCTCAATCCAAAGAATTTGGTGGTTGCTACTGCTCCATTTTAGGAACTCAGTTCGAAGTTGAAATGGTTGATGCTACTCCATTTTAGGAGCTCATTTCGAAGAATTTGGCCGTTACTGCTACTCCATTTTAGGAGCTCATTGGAAACTACAAGTGAAGAGGAATATGACTCAAACAATTTGACACAAAATTGGAGAAGGAAGTCACACCCAAAAGAAAAGAATGATGCTTCCAACAAAGAAAAAAAAACCCGTCGCAGCCGTCGTCTTAGAGTTGAGAAGAAATAAAGGTTGCTGGCGAAAAAGAAGAAGAAGAAGCAAAATCCTATTTTGAACTTGAAAAGCTTACATTAAAAAAAAAAAGGAGAAAATAAAGCTTGGTGGAAGACACTCATGTAAAAGTCAAAAAAAGAAAAAGCCATCTCAAAGATTTTTTTTTTTTACAAAGTTCTTATGCTACTCTGCCACTTGTTTTTATGTTTTCATTAAACAATATGAAAACAAAGACTCATTAAGTCTGCAATCTGTTGTGCAAGAGACAAAAGTCAATAACAAAAAGAAAGAGAGCAAGCATGGAAACGAAGTGACAAAGGTACCAAAACCGAGAAGAAGAAAGAGGAAAAAATGGATTATTCTACTACATCCACTGGGTAGTTTTAAAAACTCAAAGGAAAAGACCAAGTCAAACGAGTCTTTCACAATGGAAAAGGCTCCAACTTTCATGCTTTTAGAATCCTATTTCAACTAGGATTAAAATCCTACAAAATCCAATGGCCTTCATCAAGTTAAAATTAAACATTGAGTAAGAAATGATACCAAGCCAAAGATACTACACAGAGCCAAAGTTAAAATATTAGTGAATTAATTTCACTTAGGCGCTCAAATAGCACAAAGCCATGCTCCAAATTCAAGTGGCACAAAGTCACGTCAAGTTTCAAAAGGCACGAAGCCGTATCAAATCCTAAATGGCACGAAGCCGAAGAAAAGTCAAATATCAAATAGCACGAAGCCGCGACAAAATCTCAAATGGCACGAAGCCGTAACAAGACTTAAATGGCACGAAGCTACATTTTGCTCCTCGCCAGCATGAGCTAAAACTGCACAGGCATCAAAAGCTCCAATGGCTTAAAGTCCTTGCCGGCAAGAGCCTAAACTGCACAAGGCATTAAACGCTCCAATGACGCAAAGTCCTCACCCGCATGAGCTAAAACTACACAAGGCATCAAATCCAAACAAGTATCAAGCATACAAGGAACTACGAGTGACTTGATCCCTCAACGAGGGTACGTAGGCAATCTAGGGCTCTACCTAGATGCAATCACAAAATCAAATAAACACCCAAATCCTCAAGTTACGATTTATTCATATTAGAATCAAAGGGTATTCATTTCCCAAAAGAAATGTTGTAATTAATATACGCGTAGCCTAGAATGGGTTGAACTCAAACTAATAAAACCCTTTTCGAAAAAAATGAACAAGGGTGAAATTGTGTCGAGTGAATTATTTGTTTACATATTATGTACAATTTTTGCTCAACAGTTATACTTCAGTATAAAATAAGATTTTGTGGTATCCACTAGTGTAAATATTTTAAATTGAAGATCGAATTCATTCAATGCATTCTTATAGGGTCAAGGAGTGTAGCTGTAAAAAATCATCAAAATCGGAGCTAAAATAATCATTAAATTGTGATGTTTCGTTTATAACCGTTGAAAACTTTTGTTTTGTTACCTAATCTCTGAATGTTTTTCTTTTTTGCGATTTTTTACGTATGCGATCTTGTAGTATCTACAAACAAGTTTGACGGTTAGATCATTGAAACTAGTTTGACGTAATCTTTGAATGTTTTTCGTTTTGCGATTTCTTATTTATGTTTTTCAAGTATTGATTAGACAATATTTAGTTTGTGTGATGACATTTTCATTGTACAATTATCTTTTTCTTTCTTTATTGCATATTTTACATAGGTTATTATCTATTAAACCAAACAATTATTTATTTTCGACAAAAAAAAGTTATTTAATTTTTAAAAACGTATTTATTACATATTATTTATTTATTTATTAAACCAAACAATTATTATTTTATTTTTTTAAATCGTAACAAAATTTTGGGATGGAATTTTGGGGGGATTTATTCCACCATTTGTTTTTGTCGGTTATAACCGACAGGAATGAAAATTTTCTATCGGTTTATATTAAAAAAAAATGTTTTTGTCGGTTTTAGCTGACAGTAATGTCAATTTTCCAACATAATACTCCTCATTCCCCCTTTTCTCCTCTCCGCATTTCCTTTTCTTCTCTTCTCTCCTCATTTCCTTCTGCATTCCCCATTTTCTCTCTGCATTTCCTTTTCTTCTCTTCTCTCCTCATTTCCTTCTCTATTCCCCCTTTCATCTGAAAGTCAAACTGTCACTGCCGCCATGACATTTGAGCGCTTCGCAGGATGGGGAGGACTACAACAACGATCTACTCTAAGTCAGCTCGGCCTTTGCCGCAACCCACTTATCGTCTTCGTTTTGCTTCAAAGATACGAGCTTTTCTACATGTCAGTGAAGTACAAATTTCTTCTATAACTCTTGATTCAACGTCCTTTTTCCTCTTATTTCTTCTTCCTCTACTTCGTTTTTGCTGCTGCTTCTTCTTTTTCTTCCCCCTTTTGGTTCCCCCTTCTTGCTTCATTTTTTCTGATTTTTTTTTTCTCTCTCTCTCGCTCTCTTCAAAATCCCACAACAGTCTTTGGAGTTGGAGGTTTTTTCTCTGTTGGGTTTTTTTACCAATAACTCAAAGGGCCGAAAGGTATTCCCTTTTCATATCTTCTCTCCCAATTTCTTTAGGGTTAATTTCGATTTTCTTATGCTATTTGCTGTGGTACTTTTTAGGGTTTAACTATTTGATTTCACAGCAATGGCAGAGCATGGTGAAGAACTTGTAGCTGGCGCACCAGGAGCTCTCCATTATGATATATCTCATCAACACTGTAAGTATTTCAATTTTCATTCAATTTCGGGAAGAGATTCAATTGAATGAGCAATGTTTGCCGTGATTGAGTGATTTTAATGGAATGTGAATGTGTGCAGGTAGAAACAAACGATGTTGTGATTAAGTGATTCTAATGGAATGGAATGGAATGTCAATGTCTGATCTTACTGTGATTGAGTTATTTTAATGGAAAATGCAGTGAATGTTGGGGATATGGAAAATGCAGAAATTGGTTGTTTATATTTTTTTTTAATTATTAATATATTTTATGTCGGTTTTATTCGACAAAAATGCTTTTATTTATTCTTATTAATAAATTCTCTGTATGTTATATCCGACAGAAGTTTTGTCGGTTTTAGCCGACATAAATGCTCTTATTTATTCATTATTAATATAGTCTCTGTCGGTTATATCAGACACAATTTCTGTCAATTTTAGAGTATTTTCTGTAGAAAAATTCATTTCCTGATGCTGGCAAACCTGTCGCTTATTATATCCACCAATGCATCCATTTTCTGTCGGATTTTGCTTAAAATCCGATAGTAATATACTTTTTTTGTCGGTTTTTGGATCGCCAGTTATAGATAATTTTGTAGTAGTATCTCTGGAAAAAAAATTGTCAGAAATGGATCCAAGATGTGAAGCTCCACTCACTGTAAAAAGTCTTAATGCTAACATTGAAACTAAGAAGGATAACCCAGTTGGCGAATCTGACAAAGTAACCACCATGATCTCATACAAAGGCATATGTATTATACACTACAAAAACCAAGTACATCGTTGAACAGTATCTAAGAGCTTTATGGCTCGCTCTAAAAGAACGTTTTGATCATCAAAGAGATATCTTCTTGCTTGAAGCAAGACATGACTGACAACATTTACGTTTCCAAGCCTGTAACTCTGTGAATGAACACAATTCTGAAGTTTGTCAAATCTGATCATTTCTCAAGTTCTACAAAGAAGGATTAATTAAACAGGATCTCGAGAAGATCTATTCAACTTCTCATGCCACCAGTATTGTCCTGCAACAACAACTTTTCATGGCACAGAAGGTTAGAAATTTTCGGATTTGATCCCTGTCTTATTACTTGCTAAAAAGAAAAACCAATTGTTGATGAAAAATCATCAAGTTAGACCTAAAGACTCGACCGCTATGCTTAACGCACATGACAACACAAATCGAGGGCAAAACTGGCACTCTAGGCGTGGTAGGCACTACAAGGGTTCAAACCCTAATCCGAAGACCAAGGTCGACAGAGCAATGGCCAATTTAAGGGAGGAAACAAACCTCGAAGTGCGACAACCTTGATCCCAAGGCCTCAAATTTCAAGAATAAAGGTAAAGAACTCGCCACCCTGGTAGCATATATGTGCTACCGTTATGGTTTCAAGAGCCATTGGTTGCGCATTTGTTGAGTTTTCACTCAAGGTGTAGTTAAGTATCATTCACATGGTCAGAAGATTAAGACCAATTTTGCTCAAGTGGAGAATCCCGAAGATACTATCCTGTACATTTCTAACTTTCAGGAGGTATCTGCCTAATGGAAGATTAGATTTTTAGACATGGGCCTATATGTTGGCCGAATTCTCCCTTTTGGTGAATTCTATATGTTTTTGTGGTTTAAGTTTTTAACAATCTCCTTTGTTTTGATTATTTGTTTGCTATTTGTTTTAAGTATTTGGATATTAATTTATAGATATTATTTCGCAAATGATTAATTGAAGGAATAAATTTTACTTTTGTATTTTTTAATTGTGTTAGTTGAAGTTAGGTTAAGGACATGTAACACTCAATTAAACAAGGCACAAAACGTCACAGACAATTTTGGATGTAAAAGATTTTGACTCAAAATTTTAAATTAAATAATGTGTTACCAATAAAAAATAAATACGTTAATCAACATTTAATTAACAATTAAATCATAAAAACCACATCATTATTTTTTTTAGTTTAACAATTTAGTGTTCTTAACATTAAAAAAAAAACAAAAATTATGACTCTCAACTGCTTGAACACATGTAAGCAGATCATAAAGGGAGAAGTCCCCCAGAAGATACCCACAGAAAAAATCAGAGCATTGAGCAATGGAATTCCCAAATCAAAGAAACCATCATCACCGTCATCATGATCAGAGGGACGAGGAAGCAAGAGAGAATTACCCACCACCGGGAACTAGGCTGTCTCCTTTTGATCAACCTCCACCTCCTCCAAGACCTTCCTACTATGGAGAGGATCAACATCCACCACCACCACCACCACCTTCCTACTACAGAGAAGATCAACCACCACCGGATTCATACTACGAAGCAGATAGACCACCACCGACCCGTGTGAGCCATGTGTCCCACTCTTCCCATGGTTTTGCACCTCCAAGTCCACCCTCCCAACCCGAAGGCTTTCTCCACCACCCACCACCAGTGCAGAATTACAACTACCCATCGTCACAAGCTACTCCAAGTCCACCGCCTGTTACCGTGCACCATGTTGCTCACCAATTTCACCATGAGTCCCCTGCTGCTCAGTTTGGCACCGAAACCCATCAGACTTCTCATTTGCCCTCTTCCTCTCCCCACAACTCTTACCTCTCGAACAAGCCCACTTT